GGCTTTCATAGGATTAAGTCTGCATTGACTTTACCAGGTTAATCACTGTTGAAACACCCGGCAAATACATATCCACTCGAGAACCGAACCTATATTGTGTTAGTTGTCTGAGTAGACGTTGAGGACAAGAGGTCCTCAGTGTATGATCTGCAAAACTGTAAAAATAGTTCATGAACAAATTTCATTGAGAAATGACTTCAGTTTATTGGCACTAGCACACCATCAGCCAGATATAGCGCCATTAATTATATTTAAAATTGTCATACAGCATACGTGCCATACGTCCTTCACCGAAACAAACTTTCTGATAGAATACATTGCTTTAGAGCGAATTTAAGGCACTCACATCAAAACTTAACGTCCTTGCCTCAAAAAGTAACGTACGCTCCATTGAAAGACATTGGGGAGGTTCTGGTCGGTTTCGCTTTGTATGGCTGACAGGACGGGCATCGATCCGCGAGACTCCCGCCTTCCCATTCACAGCAATGGATCGTCCTTTGAGTTTTGCCGATGGTGCGTTAAGTTTTGACTCCAGGTACGTTAGAAATTGATTGTAGGACGTTCTGTTGTCCCTTTTGGAGAGCGGAAATTGAATCTTGACAGCAGTACGCACAGTTTTGACACAGGTACGTTAAGTTTTGAAAGTATTACATTATCACATTATCGCCTTTCCGTATTCGAAGGAATTATTTTCCCGGTCTGCTTCTTGGCTGTCCATAGACGTTCCTAACCCCGTACGTTAGAATATCGAAGAACGTACTTTGATTTTGACAAAGGGACGCCCTTTTGACTGCCGGACGCATAGATATGAGAAAAGAGCGCAGCGTTTTGCGGATCGTACGTTAAGTTTTGAAAAATATCCATTGAGATATGAAATAGGGCTTTAGCAATTGGGAAAAACTGTAAGATGACGGAAGGGGAGAGTTAGCTGGAGTTCTGGAGTGACAGTGCCTGGCAGTGGCCTAGGGAAGGGAGGAGTTTAGGGGGTTAGAACCCCCCCCTCTCCCTTGGGCTTCCCGGTCAGTGACACTGACAGGCATATTTCAATCTTCTTTGGGAATTCCTACTTTAGCTATCCCCCTACGAGGAAAGTCCGATGTCCGTCCACAGACCCAAGATGCCAGACCACCATTTCTTCAAAAAAGTACATCCGGATAGTGGAGCTAGACGTAGGATTGGGGTGTCTACCTGGCCTCAACCCCCCCCCCCCCCCCCCCCCCCCCGCCCCCCCCCTCCCCCCCCCCCCCCCCCCCCCCCCCCCCCCCCCCCTTGACGATTTCCTGCCCACGCCACTGGTGCCTGATAGCCTAGCAGAGCCCGCATTGGCAACCGCCATATCGATGAAGTTCCTATGGCTTTCAGTAAATGCATTTTCGCTCCTCAGTATGTTCGCCTATCTCAGCTACGGTTACGCTTCAGCATAGAGTTCCTTCCCTTGTTTTTCTTTTTTTAATGGGCTCTTCCAGTCTGGACTGCGCCTCACCTTCGACGAAGTAGCCTAATGTGAACGAGCTTCAAGAGGCTAAGGCACAAACCTCGTTTAGGGGAGATAGAGGGGCCGTTATGCTAAAGAGTTCTTTTTCTTTCATAAGAATCCATATATTCTTAAAGGACCGTTAGCTAAAGGAGGTTTCAGCATTCGGGTTTAAGAAAAATTAGCACTCACTGTGTGTAGTAAACAGCGCCAAAGTCGGAACTCTCATTGTCGGCACTAAAATCGAACAGACCCCAGTTTAAAGTAATCCGTCCAATCACCTCTTAAGGCGAATGAACGACTCAAGAACATTCATCACTTACCTCCATTACGATTTACGTCCAAAATCTCTTGCATTGAGTACACTGGACAAGAGAAAGCAGCCGGTGCGCGAGATCAAGAACCTAGAGTGCACCTTACATCTGGTAGAAAGCAGAAAAATTAGAGATTGCTGTACTGGACGTCAGATGTCGCCTGCTCCGTGATAAGCTTCCACACACGTGGTTGGCTCCAATACGTTTGTGCTTGTGTTCTCGTGGTTCCTCAGTTGTGTTTGATTATATGTTTCCTCTTTGATATTTCCTTACCCACATTCACTATGGCCCCGCAGGAGACTTACGGGAGGCGACAGGATCTGAATATCCATCTTTTTTAGGATGGGAAAAATCGGAAAGCCCCAAAAGAAGAGACATCACAAAGTCAGAAACCCCTTGGAGGTTGCTGCTGCCAAGGAGAGGTAGGCATGGCCTGATTATGTCAAGTAAAGTCCGTACTATGAGGCTTTTTCTGTGCCAATTTCATGCAGTAGGCCTAGCTACAGCCAAGGTATGACAGGTTAATTCAAGGTAAATGTGGGAATAATGAGCATGAAAATGCCAATTTATCATGCAGATGGAAGGAGCAGCGGATGAAGAAGCCCAAGAAACCAAACGAAGAGCAAGAAATCCCACGTAGCATCAGAGATGTTATGCAATTTATGGAATCCACAAATGGCGGCCAGAGCCTGCCCAAGAAACACAGACGCAAGAGGAAAGGTTCAAAATTACTAGACTCACAGAAGCTCCAGTGGGAGGAAGAACCTTGGCAGAGAGGGATGAACAAGCCATTGAAGCCCATACCCATTTACAAGCAAATGAAAGGAGAGTCAAATCATAAGTTTCTCAACCGTATCCACAAGACAACTAAGGTATAGCTCATGCATTCTGATATGACACTTAGCACTGTCAAGCTGCCACTTTGACTCATGCTTATCATTATATTTCTCTTATTGGCAGGTGATCCTCAATCAGGCTCATTTTGAGACAAAGTACAATGTGGATATCTATGCTGATCCTCAGACAGGATTGGTGAGTGTCAAGAAAGGCAAACGGAATCCTCAAGAAGAAATTGAGGCAGAAATTCAAACCTTGGCCAAGGAGGAGCCAAAGATCCTCAAGTTCATTGAGGATCGGAAAGGCACAAGGTAAGGCATGAGTCAATCTATGTTTTACATGTTCAAAAATATTATACTTGCCCCTCATGTGATGGACCTTTGCATGAAGGACAATGATATTAGTTTTGAATGATATTAGCTTTGAATATGTAAAACTGTTCTGCAACCATGTTAATTTGTTCTGACTAACCATGACATCAGTTCAGCACTTTATAATGTTGTCAAATCGCATAGAACATGTGAAGATTTGTGACTGCCAACATAGTCTACAGTGATTGATGCACTTTCAGAGGAAATGAGAAAAAGCAGAAGCAGCAAAAGGATTTTTCTGCTTCAGGAGAACCACAAAATGGGGCTAGAGGTCAGAAGAGAAAGCTCAGGTGTCAAGAGCTCAAAGGGCGGAAAAAACGAAAGAAACTCCAAAAGGAATTAGAGTCCCATGCTGAATTTCAATGTGATCCAGTGGAGTTTGGAGAAGTTGCCCCAGCTCCACCAAGTTTACCAGTACTACCCAGAAAAGCACAACTTAATGATTCCAGGGTAAGGGACTAATTTGGAAATACTGTAATTTTCTTGAAATATGATTGCTGCATGATGAGGAAATTAATGATTTCAGCCAGGCAAAAGAGGCCTCCTACTCAAAAGCCTGTTCGAAGGTGCAGCAGAAAAGAAGTCAAAGAAGGTTGGCCAACCTAGCCTGGCCAAGCAGAGGATTTTGGAAGATGAGAGACTCAGGGTCATGGCAGCATATCAAGACTTGAAGCTTCGAAGAAAATTTGGAAAAACTGAAAATCTTTGACTCCAAGGCTGTTATGGTTTGTGATCATATCCTTCCACATTGTATATGTCATTGGAACAAGTTTCATGAATAGATATGATTTGAAATTCGTTTCTGTGATGCTTGTGGGTTTTTTTTTTGTTGTGACATATGTATGCTTGGCACTATGCAGGCAAGAAGCAAAACATCAAAATTAAGGTGAGAGAACTTTGAAGAGTCAATGCAGCGTAAACTGTAGTTTTCATGATGTTGCTATTTTTCCTTCATTCCTCCATGTGTTTTCCTTGAATGTGGCTTTTGTGAAAACCACATTCAATTTCTGTTTGTTTGAAATATATTGGAATCCATGAGTTATGGAGAGGTATAATAATGAGTTGTGGCAATTGTTTAAATACAGCTTTTCATGAAGGAAAACTCACTATTATTAAATAGCAAATTTGTGATGGTAAACATTTGTCAATTTTTAAATTTGTATGAGAAGATAGTCATGTGAAGGAACTGTTGTCTTTGTGTTGTCTATGTCTGTCTGCCTTTCCATTTGGAGTTTTTTCCCCCATGCCTTCATGACTTTCTAACCAAGATGATATGTTGAGCTGCTTGCTACAAGTGACCAAGACACTTTGATTTAACTTTAAACTTAACCTTTAAAGGACAGTCTTTTACACCTCCTGTGGGCTAGCATAGTTGGAATATTTCTCTGCTTCATATGACAGGCTAAGTGAAAGCCTCTGGAGTCTACTGTTCAAATAAGCATCACCAATTGGAAAGCAAAATCTTGGGCTGTGAACACACTTCTACAACTATACAAATTGTGCACTGCATACATCATATTGTACATCTATCACATGACATATACGCTTTCTGTACACTATTTTGTACATGCACCTAATGAAGGGAGCTAAGGAAATGCTCTAAAAGATTCCAGATCTTCATATTCCCTACATCCCCCCCAATGAAGTGGTGGCTGGGGTAGGGTTTCACCAACGTTGCAAGACTTTCCATTCACCCTCTGGAAGGCAGTTGTCATTTTTTTTTATTATAAAGCTATTCATCGACATAGTGCAGTCGCATAAAAGCTGTAAACTCTAAAGCCCTACTGCAATTAAAGTAGTGGTGGGATTTTCTGATGCCTCCTATCCCAACTTAGGGGTGACCAGTATAGGCCTCCTAAACAGAACATAACTTGAGTTATAGGCTCCATTGCAACCAAGGATACCAGTGATGGGATAACGTTGGAAGCATGTACCGCTGGTGACCGAGTGCTTGTCAAATTAATTCACACTGCATTATTTGAGGGCGTTGCTGACAGTGGCAAATTAGTGACATTGATAGTGAGTTGCTTTCGTCCCATGAACAAGTACGGTGATGACGTCATGCTGACGTTCGCAATCCCACCCAGTCTTGGTAAGCAAATATAGCTCGAAGGAGTTTATCGTGATAAACGTCTCTTCCGCGTGAAAAGATGAGTCAAAACTGTGTTTACTTGCGAGTTGAGCAAAGTTGCCTGTGAGTGTTGTTCAGAATACAAGAATTTGAAGAATGCGTTTCCAGAAGTAAAGTGAGATTCAAGTGAGGATGAGTATACCGTTCCCATACATGCAGGAGTGCTAAAATAATTGTTTGCCAAGGCCGACGTTTTCAGTGAATCACAATCCAAGTATATTGTGATGGTTAAAAAAAAAAAAATCTGCCAAACCGAAAGACTTGTGAGGGAGCAGAGTGTATAAGATTAAACGGAGATTTTGTCTACATCTGTATGCCTATTAGAAACTCGACGCCAGGGAGTTATTCATGTTCCACCTTCGCGCGAAGCCTGCACTTCGATATGAAATCGGACTGAGAGATTCTCGAGTGGGAGAAATTGCAGCAACGACTGACGGAGCTTCCACTCCATCGTCACTTGGCCTTGTCGCCACCTTGTGACAACAGCCATGCCGTGTTGTCCCTCGACCGCTACAACCAAAAAAAATATTGAGTGGCCTGTTATCTCTCTCTCGAAAGGAAGAGGATCCGCAAATGGGACACAGCCCATTCAGTTAATTGCATGTTTACAGACACGACGCGCATCTTCCGACACGAATTGATTAGGCAAGGTCGGGCCCTCTACGGGCGAGAGGGGTCGGGAAAATGTTTTCGTTTCCCTCTAATTGTTTTAGTTGGCTTCTTCACTCGAGGCCACCTGGAATCCCATCCTGTTTGTCAGTCTGGTGCCATTTTCGCTATTCGACACTTTCAAAAGATGCTGGGAAACCAACGCCAGTAAATATTTAAATAAAATGTCAGGAATCGTGTGGGACATCTAGAAATGAGGGGGAAAATTTAGGGGGGAAAATTGCCTCTAAAGAGGGAAATTCGAGAAGGTACGAATTGACAATGCAGCTGCTTACTAATTCAGTCAGATTTTTGTGCTTATTTTGGAAATGGTACATGCAATATGATTTCATGCTGCCTGGAAAAATTTCCCAGCTTTCACCAGCCAGGCTAGATTTCCCTCGTTCCGTCCTCCCGACACCCATAAACACAGTTCCTGTGCATTTAGGTAACGCAAAGGCGTATTTGGAGTATTACAATAAACGATGCAAACACGCACGAGGGGGGGGGGGGAGGGAGGTGGGAAGGTTGAAGTAGAAGTCTGTTCCTTTGTTTACTTTTCACTCGCCGAATCGCAAAACGTTGTTGCCCCTGGCGAATGAGCGAGTGGGAATTTTACAGGCCTGGTTTAACGTCATGATGCATTAGCACGTGGCGTGTGCAAGTGTCGGTTGGTACTCACAATTAAGGATCTGCTGCAAAAAGCATGAGGCCGTGAATCCTTGATGAACGGGATATATTGTGGGATCAAGGACGTGTTTGTTTCCTGCTGAGTTCAGTATAGGCTAGAAATTTTTTAAATTATTCATTTCCTAAAGCCATCTTTGGTAACAGTTCGGGTATTGTACGTCTTGTGAACACCTACTATATTTATGTGTACACCTTATTTAGGGCTATGTGACCACCACTCATAGGCCTGTGAACACCTTGTGAATCACAAGACGTACAATAGCAAACAGTTCCTACTATGTCTGCTTGCAATCCGACAATAACGGTATGAGTGAAAACCCCCTGCCGCTTATGCTCTCCTTGGGTGTGCGTAATTTCGTGGAATCCCCGCTGCGAAGTGCCGAGTGCCTGGCAAGATTCTGCCATAAGTGAAGCTAGACGATAACTCCATCGCTCGATTACTAGGGACCCCTTAACAATGTCCGCTGAAGATGATAGTTGTTTTTTTGTAACACAGGTGGCAGGAGTATTCCGAGCCCCTCGGAGGGAGGGCCCAACAGCAGACGCCAGTCGCCCAGCAGCTTTGTTTGGATCCGGCTCAGCTGGATCGCTGGCCCAGCCACAGCCCCGCTCCCTTGCTTACTTGTTCGTTCCTTCCTGCCTCCCAGTTCGCATGGGGGGCCCTTGCTCCTCGCCCTCGTCATGCTCTTCCTCCTCTCTCATTCGACTCTCCAGGTTAGTCTTTTGTTTCTTTCGTAGGCTTGGAATGCCGTTCGGTATAGTTGCACAAGTGGAGGAAGTCGGGAGTGACCGATTCGCAGTAGTGGGCGAGGCTCAGCCCAATCCAATTCTAAAGAGCCACCTGTTCCTCGTTCATTGTCTGAGCCTTCTTTAGGCCTCCATTGTGTCGCCGATGTTCGTTGTGCTCTATCATTATCGCTCGTTAGTCTTACCTTTGAGAGATGGACGAAGGAATGTTATGAAATAGCCCAGCCTCGGCGCGAATCGAACAGGTGGACATGATGTATTCCCTTTTTGCATCCTGTTGAGCCTAAGTTAGTGAGGCTGTCCGCTTTTCGCCTGGGTTTAGCGTTCCAACGCGTGACTCCTTGCTCAAGCAAGCTGAGTTCGTGATCGCCTTCATAGAATAACTTCGTCTTGCAAATGCAAACCTGACTGAAATGAAGAGATTTCTCCCTCAATTGAGGGAGTATAGAAACCTGCGTAGAATTTCGATTTGCTATTCCACACGAAATTCAGCTAGCTGTGAATTTCGCCTTCCCCTTTCCCAGAGATGGGAACCGAACTGAATAGAAGGCTCTACGTAATGATTATCGTGAAGATGACGATGTAACGGAAGTAGTTTAACTTAGTCCTACCCGTAAACCCTGCAGGGAAGAAAAAGTGACTGTCAAGGTAGTAGATGGCTGGAAGAATGTTATTCGTAGAGGTTGTTGGCTCCTGCGAGCAGGCCGTTGCACAGGGAGGCCCACGCTTATATTCTTGGGAGTCTGGAGCCCTCGGGCCTTCCATTATCATCCATCCAGCTCCCTTTATCGGGATGAGATGGAGTTGTTTGTTCGGAACTGCGAGAGCGTCACTACCTTTTCTGTTCGAGATCGCATGACTTGAGAGTTTATTCCTGTAGACTCATACAATAGGCCTGGAGGAAGTGCAAGAGGCGAGTGAGAATTATCGACCTCCTTTCCACCCTCGTATTTTATCACATTAAGTCGTGCTACTTGCACTCGTGCCACTCTTGAGTAGCTTAGTCAATCTTTCATGGATAGACTGGGCACGTCTTTCATGGAAATACGTGTCCAGTCACTGGCTTCTCGGAAGCCGGGAAAAGCTTGGGAAAGCCCTGCTTTCCAGCCGATAATCGTTACATGGATGAACTTGCCTTCGATGGAAAAACGGGATGCGTTGGAAGTGGGTCGCTTGCCAGTCACGTCAATCTCCTCGTAATATCAACGGGAAGGAATTCAAGCACCCCGGTTTTATTTTGGATCGATTATGCCGGCTCTCATTTCAGAGAATGGTGTCGGGTCTCCCCTTGCGAAACTCCCCCCCTGTCCAGGATGTAGAAGATTTTTCCACTCAGATAGTCGCCCTCAAATCCGGGTAGGGGTAGTGCGAGTAAGCACCTTCGGTTTTTTTTTTCTTTCTTTTTTTGGATGGGTCATCTCAAGCCGGTTCTCCTCACGGATTTCCAGTAAAGCTTCCTTTTTTTTCGCGAGGAAAGGAAAAGAATCTTAGCTGTCTGGCCTCCTGTGTAATCTTAACAGTAAACCTCCATGTCATTTTTCTTTATCGTTGTGAAATTATTAAACGAGAGATGAGCACTGTACGTCCTTTTGAATTCATACACCATTTAATTTTGTTTCAAAGCAAGGAGACGATGCATCAAATGGTCTTGAAAGGGCCTTGGATCCCGAGTGATGAATGAGGGAAGATGGTTGTGGAAACGGTAACACGGAGGCATTCCGTTTGGCAGGAAGACTCTCCTTCTTTGCCAACAGAATATGGACAGCATGATACTCCATATTCTTATTTCTTCCCGACCTGGATCGCCTCCAGATTCTGCATCTGGGATGAGGCATAAAAATCATCGGATGGTTTACAGGATCCAAACTGTTTTTTTTTTTGTTTTTTTTTTTTCCAAGGAGTTTTATGGGAGAGAAACTCCGTTAAACCCTGCAGATGAAACCATGACGTGCTAGGGCTTTGGTTATGGTCCAGCTGATACTCTCGAAAAACACTGGATTTTTTTTTTCGGGGAATGTCCTAAAAAAAAATACCGCTATGACGCCACAGCAACACGGCCCACAGCTGATCAGCGGAGAAAGAACGGGTTGAGGAGACTCCCTATCGTGTCCGATCGAAAGAACAAAACAAGGATTGTGGGAAAAGTGCCATGTGCATGAAGACAGGAAAAAATGAAGATTTCGCGTGCCCAAAAGCGAGATGATGCTACTAGCGTGCAAGATGAGATTTTTTTCATGGACAGTTTCATCTCTTTCCCTCTGTCCTTCCTGGAAATGTGATACGCAGCTATGGTCAGTGTGCCGTTGAGCTTTTCCCAGGGGTTCTACTTGAATACGTTCTTTCTTATGCACACCATGGCCTGTTCATGGGTTGTTTCACCTTCAAAGCAACAAAATTAAAACAAATTAAATCTTACACGCTTTCTTCCTCCGCAGCTTCAAGAATTATTCACGTTGACTGAATTCCCCTTGTCTTGGACGAGACTTATTACTCGGTTCAGTCTGGAAAAAGAGGCGTGTTCACTGTCCTAGGAGATGATGGAAAAGATGGGTGGGATAAGAACCAAAAAAAAAAAACTCAGAGGGGGATCTCGTCCTCCAAGTTGTCACGGTTCTGTGAAAACGAAAATGCATGCCTGACTCTCGGCTTGAGCGCCAGACCGGAGATTTTATTTTATTCTTCTCCGACTCGTCTCTTTCCCCAAGAATCCTTACGTTCCCACACTTCACTCTCATTAGCGGGCTCTGCTCAGAACTTTTTCCATGAAATAAATTGTCCATTTTCCTTCAAAATAATGAAGTAATCACGTAATTATGCAATTAATGTATCAATTACTCGAATTTTGTACTATTTTAAAATAAATTGCAATTTATTATTTTAAAAATCATTCATTGTTGCCTACCCGGTATCGTACTTGCAATTGGTGTTGCTCGTCTTCGAATCGAATCCCATCTCATTCTCGCTTAAGCCTTGCGCAACAATAAATCTCTCTGGTGCGGGCCAGAAGTCAAATCAAGGCAGGAACTTAATGAGAAAATATGGTTTGTGTGGCACTCTGCAGCTTCCTGGCTCCACCCGAGAAGGCACTGGTCTCGGATTAATCCATCTTATTCCGGAAGTCATTTTTCATGGGGAAATTCTTCCAAAGGAGAGAAATTCCTTATCTCGATGGCGCATCGCATAAGAAGAGACCTTTTTAATTAAAGGGCCAGAAGGGAAAGGGGGGGCAGGAAGGCCTCCCATTCCCCAGTCGAGAGGATCAATCTGATTCCCCGGACAGCTTTTGATGAATAATGAAGCCTCTCCCCCTTTTCCTATGCCCAGGGCTGAGCTAGATCGATGTCACATCGTATGCCCCTCATAACCTTAGTTTGTTCGTGATATCTAATTATTGGAGGGAAAGGAAATTTCGCGGCGTGCTGTCTGGCTGTCATTCACAGTCTCATCTAGAGTGATGAACGAAATTAAGGCCTATCTCCGTCCACAGGAAGTGATAAGAATTCTCCCGTATAATTGGAATTTCCTGACTGCAGTTGAGAGAGGTCGATGGCTCCTGGCATATTTTTCCACGATGCGGTGTTTTTGTTCTGTTCTGCTCATTTTCCTGGAACAGCAAGATGGGTTTTTCCCGCCTCCAAGCTACTTCCTTTGAAAATTCTCCACTCCCACGATTGAATGACCCGAAGACCTTGCACAACAGCGTTCTGCTTGCAGTTGTGTTCCGCTTTTTTTTTTTTTGAAGAGCCGTTGCTATTGTAGTTTACTCAAGTGAGAAGTTGCTTTGATCACAGTGAAAACTTGTCCTATTCTTTTTTGAAGGGGGAAAAAAATACTCCGTTAGAAGGCGGCTCCGTGCTTCTGGCTCGCCCAACTCTTGGGCCCCCTTAGCCGTAATGATGTGTCGGGTAAAACGTGGCGGGAAAAGTAAGAGGTAAAAGTCGGGTCCCGTCACCGGGAATCTTTTCCTAACATCTCTGACACCGACTGACTTTCACGTAAACACACTTTCATTTTCATCCTTTGAGGAGATTATGAGAGAAGTATGGCTTGCCTTATCCATCATGCCTTCCACACTCGGTATCAATGGCCTGGGAAAAGTTTTTGCAGTAACTCAACTTTGTATTTCCCTGTCTGCGATGGGAACGAAGCGGAACGGCCAGTTTCTCATAATCATGTCGTCTTGCTTTGTCATTATTGTTGCCTCATTTCCGTACTGGGAAAATTATTTATTCGCACCGATGTAGTTCCTTTTTGATCAGCCTCCTCCATGTAGCATTTGCGAATTCGTAAATTTTACAGCAAACGAATGCATGTATTGCTTTTTTGAGGGAAAAATGCGTTATCTATAGAGGGAGAGGAAAGGCAAAGAAAAAAAAGCGTGATTAGTGATTCTGAGGCTTCGCATGAATTTCATGAAGTGGCCTTTTTTTTCCCTATCTGGTCATGTGGCCGTCCGGCCCCGGACATGGCAGTCATCAGCCCCGGCCCCCAATATGATAATGGGGAAAAGGCTTTGACGCCGTATCCGGTCTATCGCCATTGTCCCCGTCGCATGTCCTCTGGACTGTTCCTTGTGAGGGAGAATATTATCAGTGGTTTCGGTGCGTTTGTGGCCGGTGATTGATTCTCGGAATCCGGGTTATTGGGTCGTTTTCATCAAAGGGGAGGACACCCAGGTTCCAAGACGTATCCTTTATCCGTCCCCATCCTTCTTCGGGGAGCTCTTTTGGTACTTGACAGGTCTGGATTGACCTTCCTCCGATGACCAAAGCCAGGATCCCCTCTTCCGATCCTTTTTTTTCCTTCCCCGTCGCCGCTCCGGGTCCCTTTACACGCAAGCCTGGGGGGTTGGCCGGTGACCCGAGCGAGTCCCGTTATGATCGCAGGCACTGGATGGTTAGTCTCCGCGCCTCCTTCCAGGCACACATCTCTAAGAGAAAGGAAGGAACGGAAAAGCAAGTAGGGCAAAGCCTAGTCCTTTAGCGACATTTCTTTTGAGTGCTCTTGAATAGCTGATTCAGACGTAGTTATTAAGGGATATGACGATGAAGAAGAGAATAGAAGAGATTGCATGGAGGTGTGCGTAGGACGTGGGGAGTGGCTGGTAGTTGACGCGGAGGAAGGACGTTCGTTCGCTTCGCCTTATGCTGCTCTTGGAATGTTCTAAGTGATCGCGTTTGTATTTTGTAAATTTGTAACGTTGGGAACGCCCACGAAACCCTGTAAGAGACATGAACGCACCGAAACCCTGGCGAAGGCACGAGGAGCCCCTTCCCTCCCTCAAACGAGGCTCCCGAGGGAAAAAAAAGGCACGCTTTTTTTTGTCTAGTCGGTGCCAAACGAGGGGAGAATCCAAGCGAGAATGGGCGTCTTCCTGGGGCCAATGATGAATGCCAGAAAAAGGAGGGAGAAGGGCCTGCTTGCTGATGGCCTTGGGATTTCTCTAGACGCTAAGGGAGGAAAGCCTTTGTGTCTATGACACCGAGATTCCTTTTATTTCGCTCGTGTGGGTGATGATCGCTTCAAACTGGGCGAGATGATGAGGGTCTTTCTCGGAAATTCTCTCCCTGTCTCATCCATCCTTTTCAGCTGAGCTGAGGTGAAGGGTGTGAGTGATGACCATCGTCGTGTTGTGTTATGGCCAATTTCGAAGGAAGGCAATAAAGAAAAAAATGAAAACCAAGAAACAAGAGGGAAGCAGTAGCAGCTTCTTCTCACAGGGCTTTTCCTGGCTTTTTCCTTCTCCGGAAGTCATGGTCCTTCTTTGTGGTTTCCTTCTCCATTAGCAGTTGGGAGTTCCCCTCCCCCTGTTCCTCTGAGTTGACGAGGCAGCCCTGAAATGCGAACGCTTCTGGTGTCTCGCACTCGGGCGAACGATAGGAAATATCCCAAGCAACACCTGGGTTGCTCATAGTGGCTGTATCCTCTGATCATGAGTCATGTCCCACGGGAGAAATGGAGCCTTGTGTAGATTCAAGTCACGTCTCGGTCTTGCTCTTCACGCAAACCCTCCGCTCGATGCTCGTTTACCTGCCGTGCTATTTCCACGTTCGTGTACAAAGAATCTTGAACGTGATGATTCACTTCCTGTTATCGTTTTATCAATTGAATTTTTTTTATCTCTTGCAGGTCAGAGTCGGAGGAAATGAGCGTGCTAGGTCCGAGATGATGCAGACAGAAGTGACATAAAGGAAGGAATTCTCGACCTAACAAAAAAGAAAAACAGGACAATGGCCTCGTCTAAGCGTGCTGTGTTCCTTTTCGTCCTCTCGGCGCTGGTCGTGTTTGTGGGGAGCGAGACGGCCCGCGACGACAAAGTGCCGTCGTCGAAAAGTGATAATTCCACGGAGAAAGCTGGACCCTACAAGTCGAAGAAGGAGTTCGATCCCCAAGGGATGGAACACATTTACTTCGCTGCTTCTTACTTCTTGGAGAAACTCCTGCCTGGGCCCGAATTCTTGCCTCCGTTCATCCGTGAGTTTCCCCCCTTATTGATTCTACGATGCAGCTGGACCTATAGGGAGAAACTTTTTGCTCTCGTTTTGATGGGATCGATGCGGAAGTTATGTTCGCCATGTCGTGCGAGTCGAAGGACGAGAGCTATCTTCTAAGGCCTTATTAGTGGCTTCATATCCGTGCCATTCGTTCCAAGGATCATGCACGTCTCTCATCTCTTTTTTTTTCTCTCTCTCTTACATACCATCTCTCATGAGGGACTGAGAATGGATTCATCCGGTATTCAGAAAGGGGAAAGATGCACCCCCGTTGTCGAGGATCAAAGCCTCCAGAGCATTCTCCTTTATCTTCTCCCCCCGCACGCATCATCATCATCTCATGAATGCAGCAGCCTCCACGAAGCAAAAGAAAAAGTGGGAAAGGGGTGGGAGGTGTGGAAGGCCTCTGCACGACCTCGTCTTCCAGCATGAGAATGCCATAAAAACCTTTCTATCACGTGCTTTCTTCACTCGTGCTTTGGTCGTCTTTGTCTCGAATTCGACCCTGTTGTTGCCGTTCCTGCAGGAATAACAAGGTTTTTCACCCCCTACCAAGTGGTAACAAACCACGAACGCGAAAGGAGTACTTTGGACTCCCAAGCGTCAGCAGCGAGGAGGAATTTTTTTTTTTCCTCCCGAAGGGAATTCTTTGCGACGGAATTGGCCTTTGAAGAGAGAGCGGGTAAGAATTATTTCGTGCTCACGTGGGGATTCTGTTCCCAGTGGAGCTTGGAGCTGGTTCTTTCCCTCGTTATTCGGCCTTCCGAGGATTCTCAGCCCCATTCACTCCATCGTCGTCGTGGACATCCTCTTCACGCATCATTAAGATGGGCAATCGGCCCCAAAGACCCTTCAACTGCAGCGAACAGGTTTCCCCGCAGACAAGAAAAGAATTGGAAACGGTGCTGAGTCTGGAACGTCTGGAAAGTCAGTCCAATTCATGGATAAAATCCCGTCGTTCGTCACGCGTAGGAAGAGGAAGTTAAACTTTCGTCAGAGGGATGTATCTAAAAAATTAGATTAATGGAAAATATGCGAGCATGTATTCATGAGAAATGCAAATGTCATATTTGGTCAATGTACTCTCGGGAGGGGGGGGGGAGGGGGAGGGGGAGGAAAAGAGACGGGAACTGCGTTTCCTATCGTGAATTGAAAGGGCGGACTCGGTCTCGTGATTGGACCAAATCTCATTGCGAACGTATCGACCTCACGTTAATGATCGATACTGTGACGTCAATCTCAAGGGGGGGGGGGGGTGGCTAATGCCTATGCGAGAATAATTCGCATGCTCTCTTTCGTGCCGACCTGGTGGACGGGAAAATAAAAAAGGGAAGTGTTTGCTGCACGGCTGGCTGCGCCGAGACAAAGGATCTGCCGCTACCTGCCCCTCGCAACCAAAGAGTGGGTAGATATCACCAGATTTTCAAGTTTCCATGCAGGAACGTGAGAGCAGGCATGTGCAGAGGTTGAAGTCATTAATTATATTTATTTACGGAACGTTACCGCCGTGGACAGGAAGTTTCGGCTTTTTTTCCATGGTCCTTCGCAAGATCGCATCGCCCGTCGGACGACAAGTCATTCATCATACCGTGGAAAGAATACACATGACTGACGACTTAACATGCCTTAAATTTCACCAACAATTGCCCGTCTGCAGTAAAAAAAATATTGGCACGAGATTTAGTTACTAAAAGGATGCGATTGGGATAGGAGAGGGATAGGGTGGACTTGGCAACAAGGATGGAAGGCAAGCCTGTTCCCTTATCGATCGCTCTGTCTGTGTGTGTGTCAGTCTGTGAGTCTCTCTCTCTCTCTCTCTCTCTCCCCCCCCCATTTCTTACTATACATCTTCCCGTTCCATTCCATTCCTCCGTTCTCCTCTGCGTCGTTGACATGAATTTATGTCGCGGGTTCGCCAGTCCGCATTTCATGGAGTGGATTTAAAGAATCGCCCTAGAGGATCTCCCCATATCTCGCGATCGCCATGAACTGACTCGGATTCGGCGCAGTCTTCGTTGTTTTTTTTTTTTGCTCCAATTTTCCCCCTCAGCTGCAGCAGTACTCCTTCCTTGCCAATCCATATTAAAACGCCGGAAGAGGTGAAGGAAATGGACGTGAATAACGAACCATGAAAAGGGGGGGGAATAGGATTGCCTCGCCAGATGCATGTTGACTTTCCCACGGTTATCCTTTCTTGAGAAACCCGATGGTGTTTGCTCTGCCTCCGATCATCGTCGTATCACGAGACCCCACGTTTTCTCGTCGTGACTCCGAGGTGATTGACCTCCATCGATACTACCGGGACCGGTACATATTTGGATCACGATAACGCCAAGCGACGCACGTGCTTTCTTGAAAAGTAATGAGGTCTTTCTGAATTCATTTCCATCTCCTTATGTAGTCTAACAGAACGTCACAAATACCGTTTTCTGCATCCAAAGATGGTCATCTAGGTTTGTGTTGACAGAATGCTTTAAGAGCGTGGAAAGCAAGGTAAAAATAAACCGCTCATTTTCCCAGGCGTCGACCTTGCTCCCAGCAATTGTGCCAAGCAGACAAAGGCAAAAATTGCCTATCTACATATCCCGTTTTCCGGGCAGAGAGAGACTCGCACGCGCTTGGTAGGAGAGCGAAGGCCGCCGAGTGTCCTGTTGCCATGGCAACCATTCCTTTTTAAAAGCCTTCTATGCTATCTGTATATTTTAGTCGGGAGGCAATCAAGTCATATTATCCTGCCACGATCTGATGCCTCTGCCTTCGTCTTCTGTACCTTGATATCGCCGTTTGTCGTCCCCGAAGACTCCTTTTCTCATCTTCCTTCCTTTCTAGGGCGGATGAAGAGGGAGTCGATTGCTCATTTCAGGCCGCCGCGAATTGGGTTCCACGAGAGCAGGGAACTTCATTGCTTCATTCGAGTGCCGCAGATGATTGGAGACGGGCGTTTCCATCCGTTTCTGCATTTCATCTCCTTCGTTGCGTTTCCTTTGGAATGCTGAGGCGGTCTAAGTCGAGCGCTTATCGTCGAAAGTGCGCTGTCACGACGGGGTTTGCAAGGCGTTGGTGATGCAATATGTTGTAAATGCTTGTTTCACACAAGTTTCTTCAAAAATGATGAAATGCTTTGAAGGAGGTCATGATGGAAGCGTTTTTGCTCCATTCTTTGTGCAGGAATGACCCTGATTTAAATACGATGAAATGAGTACGACAAGCACGTATTTTACCGCATTTTATCGTATCTTGGAGGATTTGGTTACCATTCCACATTAAAAATTAAGAAACTCATCTGATTGAGACGCATGGGTTGTATTGCAGGTGAACGATTGGATCTGAACGGGAAGAAGAGAGTCGAAGATGTGATAGAGAATATAAAGTTCACAGTGGACGACATATGGCCCACGGTGAAGTACTACAAGAGGCCAGTGGCCTGTTTGGTGATAGGAGTCCTGGTGGCAACCCTGCTTCCGATGGCAGGGTTGCTCTTCTGTTGCGGTCGCCTCTGCAACCGTTGCGGCAAGAAGGCCTACGAGGTGGAAGAGTTCGAGATGAAGCACGACCTCTGGAAGAGGGTCTGCTTCAGTTTCTTCCTCACGCTCGTCGTCATCATCATGGCGTAAGTTCCATGCTGAAAGGGAAAAAAAAGGAATGGAAATATTAAGCGCTAAAATGTGCGCCTTTTAATATTTATTTCCTTCGAGAAAGGTATGAAAGAGGTTCGTGAACTTCACGCATGAGTGTTATATGTTGTCACAAAAGCGGCAATTTTTCACCGGACCCCATCATACATCGCTGTGTCCATGGGACACCTTATTAGGAGGTTCTTGACTTGCTCATTTATTAAAAAGCCTGCAATGAGAATTCCTGCGTCAGGGTGGTAATGACCATGCCGAGGGCATGAATCCTTTGATCACATGATCAACAGCGCGCAACCACACGCGACTGCCAAGGCGCTTTCGTAAATCCTCTCTCCGCCTTTTGTCCTTCGACCTCCAGGTTCGGCGTGGTGGTGGCGTTTGTGAATACGCAGTACACCAAAGAGGGTGTGGAAAGATTCCCGGATCGCATGGACAACTTCCTCTCTGATCTCTCCACTTATTTCAACTCCAGCGCTCAGGTATGAATTATCTTACGAATTAGCTAATTATGAATTAGCTTAAAACTTACGAAGTTTCAATAATTTTTTTCCCACAATAATCTGCACACCTTCGCTTCGTTTAAGTATCGCGACCGAGAGTTTTTCGTGAAAAGTATCAACTAAGTTAGGGCTTTCATTCAACACTAAAGCTTTCAATTCAACATTTGTCGCAAAAGTAGGCGTTCCCTGTCCTCACCAACTTTTCTGTTACAACTTTCCCACGCTTGCCAAAGAAAGTGTCGTAATGCTGTGGTAATCCAGATCCTTCTGCCAGTGGAGCATTTCATCACTGCCCACGTTTGTATTTTCAGGAAGCCCAGGCCCTGATGGTGACCAACTTTGACCAAGTTCGAGCAGATCTCTTGCAAGACGTCGAAAGTGAGTTTTTTTTGGCCTTGACTCGTCATTGCGCAGCGCTCTACCGACCTTGCGTGTCCGCTGCTCGTTCCCCGCCTTGTAACGACTCCAGGGCAATGAACTGGATCGTTTCGCGATTTCTGCATTTCCTGACTTTGAATAGAGTCCTTTTTCATCCTCGCATGCCTGAATCCCTATGTAACGGCTGTCCAGTTGTGCAAGGACCGTTGAGCAATCCCTTCATTCCTCTCCGTCGTAGCTGATCGTAAAAGAAAAGAAATTTCCCCGCTGGAATGTGAATATTCTGGCTGACAACGATGGGAATACTTCGGGAACTTACAGATGGAGGCGTCAAAGTTCGAAAATACCTGGCCAACATCACAGGGGCCTCGGCAGCCGACGACTTGGCAGAGATGGCTCAACGCATTCCACGTATTACCGAGAACCTCAGGGATCTCGAGTCGGAGCGCAAGAAGTTCCTCTCGAACATCGGAATCCTCAACCATGGTATTCTAGTCGTTTCGGACTTTTGTCCCCATTTGATGCAAGGGCGAGGCGTTGATGGCTCTGGTTTTCTCTCCAGGTTTGGAGAATCTCAGAAGAATCCTCTCAAGACTGGAGCAGTGCTCTCACAAAGAATGCAGGGACTTCCTTCGGGAGCACCCACCTTCTCAGCTTCAAGTAGCTGATAATTTCACAGATGTGAGTCATCTTAGGGTCAGTCAGTCTCGAGGTGTGCAGGTGAGACTCTGAGGATCGACTTTCATCACTTCCAGCTGCCAGCATTGGACGCAGTGATCTCAGTGTTGGATCGGCTTTTGCTGAGGAACATGGTCGAGATTGTAATGCAGGGGAAGGAGATGCTGGATTCGGTCAAGCTCAAGCTTGAGGGTCATCTGGAAGAAATATTGCCCGAGTTTCGGAATCAGCTCGACTCGATCGGTGAGCAAAGCAATCCAGATCGTACGAATCCATCGTTTTCTTGATTTTCCTGAATTCGTGTTTGCATACTGATTGCGTGAGTTTGTCATGATTCCAACGTTTATCTCACTCGAACAGGTTCTGAAGCGGAAGCTCTATCTGAGCGAATCTCTGATCATGTAGATCTGTACGACATTAACGAGGCAAAGGAGCATGTGAAAGCTGCAAAGGAGCAAATCCAGAAATACTCTCCTTATGTGTAAGAATCCTTGTGTCGTAATTGAGGCAGGTTCTCATCCAGCTCAGTGCTAATTCTGATTATTGGCATGTTCTTGTCACAGGTCAGCTGCCGTGTTTTGTCTCTGCAGTGTTCTTCTATTGATTATCCTGGCCCTCTTGATTGGGCTGGTCTTTGGATATTTTGGGAACCCAGTTCATCATTATTATGGGGAGACTCATTGTTCGAGACGCAGTGGTGCCGTCTGGCTCATCTCGTGAGTTTACCTTTTTCTCTTGTTTTAAATTGCAAAGTCTGTGATTGTAAACGGAGATGATGATTATTTGCAATTGGACTGCAGGGCGGTGTACTTGATGTTCTTCGTTCCATTGATCCTGATGACTGTGACGACAGTTTTGTTCCTCGTGGGTCTGCTGTCCAGTCGTGTCGTTTGCCTCACGTTGTCCACGCTCCCCAACAACACCCTGACCCAGGTGCTCCACCAGGTGGAGTTCTCCCAGACGATCCCACCCGACAACCAGGTGGTGACCATCAACGTGGTGGACTTTGTCCGCCGCTGTCACGAGAACCTGAGTCTCTTCAACGTCCTGGAGTTGGAGGACGTGGTGAACGTCGATCGACTGCTTTCCCTCCCGCTCACGCGAGACGTTGATCGGCACATTGAGGATTACGTTGAGAAGATCCGCCTTCCTTCGCAAATGAATCTGCTGAACGATACGGCACGGGAGCTTCTCACGTCATTTACCAGATCTGAATTGTTCGAGGTCCCTCTGTCCATATTTGAGAAAGTACCAGAGAGACCGATTCTCCAAGTGGATCTCACAGATTATGAGGCAGCGTTAAATAACACTGCTGAGGCTCTCAGGAACAATGGACACTTCAGTCTTGTAAGTTTTATAAAACTAATTGAAATTCATTTTTAGAATTTCTTTCATATTTCACTGTTGCTTTGCAGCACAACCAGCTGTATAATGATGCGAAGTACGTGAGTGGAGAGAGAGCATTCCTGAGTGATGCCCAGAAATCAAGTGAGAGGATGGCTGTGATTGCAGTCACCCTCAAAGATCTCCTGCAATATAAAGGACTACCCCTTGCCGCTGCAGTTGTGGATCGGATTGATATGGCTGAGAAAGCAATGGAGTATCTGCGCACACGCAAGAGTGATATTGTTGACTCTGTGAGTTTTAATTTCAAACTAGTGGCCAAGAGTTGCCTGTGCTTGCAGCCAAATTAACAAAAGTGATTCCATTCCAGATTCGAGGGAAGTACAGCAAAGACCTGGAGAGCAAATTCTTTGGATATTTGAAAAGAGCTGTGAACAGCATGCGAAATGATCTGAGTCACTGTGAGCCTGTGAGCAATGCATATAATGCCACAGTCTCTGCCCTCTGTGATAATGTTGTGCAACCACTGGTGAGTCTCCTTCGTTTTTACATGTCTGAGAAATCAACATGGTTGGTCTAGAAGTCCTCTGATCATGAATTGTTGAACCACACAGAATGGATTTTGGGCTGGATTTGGGTGGTGTGTGCTGTTGTTTGTGCCGGGTATCATCTGCGCCGTGCTTCTGTCTGTCTACTACTCCAGAATCAAACGGGATTCCTCTGTCCCAGGAGGAAATTCTTACCATGACATGTAAGTTCTCTCATCTTACTAATGTCATTAGATGAATACTAACTTTGGATAGCAAAGGCACAGGGATTTCATGTCATGTGAAAGAAAGTATTGCATGAAAGGAATGATTTCTCTTGGCATATTGGGATCATATCATTGACACCAACATGAAAAATTTATTTTGGAATGTGATTCATGAGATTCAAAAATAATGTTATTGCCCATTCATTTAGTCCTACCACTTTCTCAAACCTGTCCCCTCTTGTCTCTTTCTCGGGTATCCCTGCAGTGAATACTTCTACGATGCTTACAGTGATCGTGATAACCTCCCTCTTGCCAAGTGAGTCCTTTCTTCCTTCTTTGTGTCTCTACATTCACACCCTGATTGATTCCCACCATCTCTGTCTTTCACTGGCGCATGAGGTCATATGCAAGCACATGACAATTCCATTTGTTATTCGATAGACAGTGAATGAAGTTGTCTTTTGCATCAAAGTTGAGGCTGTAGGTTTGCATGCAAAGTCTTTTCCTTTATTTCATCTCAGTAGTACATATATCATTCTCTGTGCTGATGTAGAAGTTTAGTCACCTTACAAATTTAGTTTAGTCACCCCATGTCAGATGAGCAGAGTAGCCCAAAAAAAGAAACTTACTTTCAAAATTTTCAAGGAAGGAACTTTGCAAAAACATAAAGTTGAGGTTGAGATCCCCCGTAACAACCGAAAAAGATGATCAATGAGACCTTTATTACTTTAATAACCACTGTCAGCCTAGCTGGCCACTGCTCAAAGGATGTTAATCATAGCAAGTGAAATGAAATGTGCGCACAACTGTTATATTTAACCTTGTACCAGAATGTAAAAACTTTTGTTCATGCTTCCATGAATTGAAAATTCTATTAAACCAATTAAGGTACTATTTATCCTTTGAATTGCATGTGTGCATCTTAATTTGTACTGATGTAACGATCAAATGAAAAAGGGTGAGCTTTTCCACCCCACCCTTTAGAGTAGGCCAACCATGAATAATGAGGGGTCATGAAAGCTTTGCTGCAGTACATTTCAGAAAGCAAGAGCATTGTTCTCTGGTTTTTTTTTGTTGAGGGAAAATGAGTGCTGTTAGATGGTCATTTATTGGTGATCAAGTAATCCTCCACTCTCCTTGATCTGTAGCCAAGATTGTATGATGTGAATTGTTTACAATAGTGACAGAGTGTAAGTAGGGGCTATAAGTAGGGGCTTCACTTCATGAGACATTTATACAATGTATTTAGTGTTTGCTCTATCAAATTACAGCGCTTAGATGCCTTTGGAATATCCTAATTTTGGTAATTGTTAGATTTTGCTGAAGTGTACTTGGCATGCTTCCATGATCAAGGAGGGTAAAGGAATCAGAAGAGATTCCTTTATTTCAAAAAGCCTCTTATTTCAAAATGCAACACTTCCAGTGTAGATTTGTGCTTCAATTATACCTCTCATCTTATTATTTCTGCCTTTGGTTTCAAATGTGGCGAACATATTAATTGGGTAATAAGTTGTGTACAGATTGCCTCATTTTATCATGAAACTGAGATGTCTTTTTGGTTCGAGTTTTGAGGTTCACTGCTATAACTGAACTTTTATGCCATCTGCTAAATCATTGCTCTCATTTGGATGTGCAGTGTGGAGAAGCGGAAAGGAAAGACAAAGCCAAAAGGAAAAGCAACTGGAGGGAACGAGAGGAGGGGATATGAGAATTCCAGGAGCTACAGCCCAGAATACAGTCCATCGGCGGTGTACCCCCGTGGGGATGCTCGAGTGTTCCCCTCTTCCTCTGCCAGTCCTCCCATCACCACCAATTTTGGGGACCTGTCGCAGGAAGCCAGTTCCCCTGTCACTGACAGGTTTGTGTAATTTCTATCTCACCTATGCTTTGTTATTTGATGGTACAAGGATCTTGGTCAACTTGTATTAATAGACTATTGCTGCCTTTGTTGGTGGGCAAATCCCAGGCCTGCATCCTGAATTTTTTGTCTTGTGAAATATGTTGCAAGTTTTCTCTGGTTATAGAAACTGAATGGGAGAATTTTAAGTCTGAATTCTTAGTCTTTTTTATGGAAGCAGGATTGAATTTGAATCATCAATATGTTTGAAGTTATTCCCATGAATGGATCCTTGAAATTGGATTTGAATGTATTCTCAGCTTTGGATTTTCTCATTGTTTATATATAGAGGTGTTGATGAATGTGATAGATACACTTATGTATAAAGGAACATAAAAAAATTAAGTGTTCCATAACTTGAAGGTGTACTTTAGGTCAGGACAAGGCTAAAATCTCAGACTCATTCTGAAAAATAGGAATAACGTGTGGGAGGTCAGAAGACCCCATGAAGAATTTAGGGACCTTGCCGACCTCCTGGAGAATGAAGAGGAACGCACAGTTTTCTAACCCTAGTCTGTGGATCAGGCTTCAAATGTATGAACAAATGGTTGTAATGAAACTGGTTACCTTAGTGCACTAAAGCATGCTGTTGCATTTTGATGTTTCCAGGAGTTGAGGAACTCCTGGAAACTCCATCACTCAAAGTGTGTCTGTGTTCAGGGAGAAAAGTTAATATTCTGCTTATGCACCATCATTTTTTGGGCACTGGCTTTTGACAATCCTCGTGTGATCTGAAACGCATGTGAAGAATTGCAATCAAAATCTTCATGTATCTGTGTTTGTGTGTTTTGTAGATCTGTAGAGTTCCTCAGTGGAGGGCCACCAGAGTACACCAGTGAGCCCCATTTGGCACCTGAATATGAAAGACCTCCTCCTTATTATTATCCAGGACCCAAGTAGGTGTCTTATGTCCCCTTGTCTTGCTTCAATAATCATAGCCAAGTGTAATAAGTCATTCTTGTAGTAGATCTAAAATTGAAAATCAAAGAGAGACGTATTCATTGAAGTCTTTTTCTGTTTTTAGGAATCCTTGAAGGAACAAGTGTGACTGAATGATTTCAACAGTGCAAGTGCTGCCATGCTTCTTTCTGTGAAATGTGTGATCAATGACTGAAATAAAAGCATGATTGACCTCGTCTGATTTTTACCTCTCTATCTTTTTGCTGCTTAATGAGGTTGAAGAAATCCGTTTTGATTCGCACAGGAAATGTTTATATAGAGGAAAGAGTTGTGAAAGAAATTGGGAGAATGCAGAAGTCATTAAATACTAGGTGTTCCATTTGACATTACCTAAAATGGTAATGAGTGGTATTCATTATATCATTGTTCATGCTTGGTATTACAAATAAGACCGTCGCTTTCTCCCAGAATGATCGAAATGAACTAAGATGATCCTAGCTCTTTGATTGAGTCATGAATCTTTGCGTTCTTCACCCATTCACAGGGTACAATTTGTTCCCTTCGCAATTTTTCTTTCCAAATGTGCTGCATTGAGAGAGCTGATTAAAGAGGACATGTCACTGCAAGCAAACATTCGTGCTAATGTAGTGAAAACCTGTCAAGTAGCCAGTCTTTTGAATTGAACGCTTTTCCAAAACTGTTCTGGCTAGCGAACAGGCTATTCCTCCGCAGCAGGAATACGCGGCGAAAAAGTGAATGAATGTGATAGCAATGCATGGAAGAAAAAAAACGAACAGGACGTAGAGTTCAAATTTTTAAAGTATTCTAGTCTAAAGTATGTATCCATCAAGTGTTCTACATATAAATCCGAGCGATGACAGCAGCCTCCGTTATTTAAAAATAAAAAATTAAAATTAAATAAAATGAAAATAACAAGGCTTCCTGAATATGGGTCCGCACCTGAGCGGCTCACTCTCCTGAACTGTTTCCTTCGAGCCAAAGCATCAGAGAATGGAAAATCTCAAGAGACGGATTGCAAAGCACCTCCAAGTCATAGTATTCGCGGTAGTTCTAAAAAAAGTCGAAATGCCTTTGCACATCAGTCATCGCACTAGACCGTCAGTGCTCATTTGTATTAGTGAGTATATTCAACTGGACGTGATACATGGGTTTTGCGACATTCGGGGGCTCCTCGCGCGATTGTGCATGAAACCATCAGAAATTCGGTCAAACAGACCAGGCACGAAACTAGAAGGCGATGCCGCTTCCCGGTCGAGTTCACGGACCGATCAGTGGTTGCGCACGAACGGAAATTCAGTTCCGTACATCTGATGAACAATGGGGGGGGGGGGGGGGGGGGGGGGGTGGTGGGGGGGGGTGGGGGGGGGGGGGCGAGGGGGGGGGGGGGGGGGGGGGGGGGGAAGACTTGTCCGGGGCGGATAAGCAATCCTTTCCTCCGACGATTCTGGTTGTTCCGTTGAATTGTCAGGATTCACTTTGCTTTCCAGGTAGAAAATGTTTCTAATTCATCTCGCAGAATCCTCCTTGTGAGCGCGGTCGAATGGAAACCGCATGCACCCGTGACGGCGTCGATTTTAAACCCTCAATTTGCCCAGAGTCATCGATCATACTAGACGAAAGCAAGTACGTGCGAGGACTTGGCCCCTCCAAAGTGCTGCTGGAACATCCTTGGGGCCCATTTCTCACCACACGAGCTTGACGAGACCATTCGAGGCACTTTGTATGCATAAGGACTCATGCAACCAATCTGCCTCCTCGTGCTCCATTTCGTCATGGACCAGGGCATCTCAACGTTCTGTTGGAAGACGAGTGGAGCATGGGCATGGGGAAGAAGGAGAGGGGGGCTGTCCACGAAATTTCCACGATGGACTGGTTATGTCCTACCCGAGCCAACCTTAGGAGGTCTCTCTTGCTTCCTAAAGTAATCAAGTAAAGTCTTCGCCTCTCCAACTGTCCATATCCTGTTTTGAGGCTCCAAGTGGCGATTCATAGGGAGCAGAGGACTCAGCCCCCTCAATACTCCACTTTTTTTTTTTAAACAGGAAGAAGAGCAGCCACCCGCTGGTAGTCCCAAACAACGCTTCCCCTCAGAAGACCTTTCTTTCCCTTGCAGATGTCTGAACGTGCTCGTCGCTCGACACCCATCTTCCCACCCATCGCTCCTTCCCTCAGCCCCTTCCCCACCAGCGGCTTTGGCAGCCGCCTTTCCGCTTCCCCGTTCTCGTTGGCATACGAGCCAAAGTACGGCATTGAAAGAAGAGGAGGGGGAAGGTTTACGATCCGTAAAGAAGCCGTCTCTGAGCCGCCCCTTCAAGTTTATCGACTAATTACCGCGTTTGTTCCTAACTCCAAAGTTGTATCCAAATCATCCATCAGCGAGACTCGCACCCGACGGGAGCAATAGCACGATCTCCCTACCACCAAACAACAGTTCCACGAATCCGATCTCTACGAGACCGCCTCGACGACGGTAGAAGCAATCTACCTCCGACAGGCTGCAGGGGAAACGAAGCGGAACGAGCATCCAACCGCACTGCCCTCATCAGTGAGCGAAGGTGAAGGTCGTCCACGAGACGTCCTTCCGGCACAACCCAGCTTCTCTGCTTTTTATCGAGTCGGGGCACGTGAGCATCCATGCGATCGTGACCTCCAGGATTTGCTGGATTCTCGCTTCTCTGAGTGCGAAGATTGTGCTTCACACCTGCCTTTTTTTCCAGCAGGCTGCATCGGAACAGGTGTCCCTGCTTCGGACCATCAATCTGCAGCCACGACAGAGACACCCGTGCATGTTACTCACGTTCACCGCCATCGGTCGATAATCCATTAAAATTAAAATAAACAATAATTAAAACGTCTCCAAATTCGCATCTTCACGACCCACGCCACCGGAACGTTGCCATGCCTTCCCGGATCGCCTCGACCGTGGCGAGTCGACCGTTGACGATTAACCGTTGGCGTCGTCTCGGGGAGGCCGGTGCGGTTTCCGCTCTGGGGAGGATTTTGCAAGAAGAATTTTAATGGTCTCTGAACAGTAGAAAAACGTGAACCTTGACATTTCAGGGAGGACCACCTGGGGCCTGTTCCACCGAAGATTTACAAGTTGCAAGGGTAGTGTCTGTATTTACAGGCATGGTATCTTATCGTTCTGCCCGTCCCGCGGGTTCCGCTCACCCCCGACACGACCCTTGTAAATAGTGACAGTATTCTTGTAGCTTGTAACTTGTAGCTCGTAAATCTGTGGAACAGACCTCTGGAAAGCCAATGGGAAGAAGACTTTGCCCCTCGTCCATACGTTTGAATTTGTTGCTGTGGCAGCAGCCTTTACTATGAAACATCCTTCAAGAACTTCGCTTACGACCTCCTTTCGCTTGTGGAAACCGTAGCCATCGCCACTGGGAGAGGAAGCCTGCTTTAGAGGATGTCCTTCAAACGCATCCTCGTGTGTTTTTCACCTCAACCGCATCATAAAAATTAAAAAAAGAAAACTAGAGAAATTAAATGGCTATTATATAACGTGTCACTTTTAAACCATTTTTGTCCTCTGATTCGCCCATCCCCTTGAGTTTATAGATGAGGACAGCGGCAAAACTAAGGGTGGGGGTTCAAAAGGTCCGGCCCCCCCCCCCCCTCCCCTCCCGGGGGTGAGAGGGACACAGATGTAGTTTATAGCAGCGGTTTCAAACTCAAATCGGTTGTCGTGCCGCACCCATAATTTTTCACGAAAATTTGTTGTTCGCTCAGTTTCCACTGTTTGAATAGAAATATTATTTTCCTACGTTCATTATGAAAGGAAGCAGGACTAGGTTCAGCTATGAACATAAACTCAATTCAACGCAATGCCTGAACAGACTTTGGGTGGGTGGAGATGGGGGGTGGATTAAGGAGGGGAGCTAATCCTGATTCTCTCCACCTCCTGGAAAAAGGAGTGAAAGCGGATAGGAGGGAGGGAAAAAATATTTACCTAACCCCAGAGAGATTGTTATTTGAGAACAAGTTCCAAGAAGTGTTCAAAGAGTGCAATCTTCTCATCCTGCAGCATGGCCGCAGTCAAAATATATCCTGCGTGGGATGGGCCGTACTATTCAATTTTAAGAAATGTGCTGAAGCTGGATTTTTTTTTCCTGAAATTTCGGCGAAGTGGATCAAATGACATGATATCAATGCCACTAAATGTCGCAAAAATGAATGCGTCTTTAATCTGTTGAGAACATAACGGGTTGGCACTTTCCCGCCTTTGTCAATCTTGGGGGAGCTTATTTCCGGGTGGCTTTTTACTTACCCTTTCAGACCTGACGTCCATTCCAATGGACATTGCATTTACATTGCGTCTATGGCGATTTCTTAGGATTCTTGTGACATTGCGCTCCATATTACGCTACAATGGGCACAATTATGCATGGCTCAGTTACATTAGAGGTCTTCGATTAATTTTGTAATAATCCGTTATTTAATTAAATGTATTATATGTAATATATGGTATGATATGGTAAATTTATACAAAATATAAAAACTACATATGAAGCATGAAAATTCCAACTACAATCACGAAAGAGCTCAAAATGCTAAAAAGGGGATATTATTTCAGAAGCAGCCTTAATTCAGGTCTGAAAGGGTTAAACCCGATGGTCTGACGTCATGCAATAGAAGCAGCTGTTGTTCAGTTTTTCTTGCAGAGGGAAACGGACCGGCAAGTAATGACTGCGCCCTTGCGGTTTTCTTCTAGGTACCCTCAGCGACTGACTTGGATGGAAAAGCGGAGCGATTCGTGGTGAACAAGAATTACAAGAAATGGCGTGGGGTTGACAGGAAGGCCAATTTCCACATGATAAATGTGACTTTAAAGGTTATTTATCTCCCGAAATCGAGTCTGGAGTACTTACACATCCGTTCGAATCCCATGAGCAAAATCATTCTCAATAATCGGGGGCACAGCGGCACAGGAAAAGAGTAGGACTCGCTTATTCCTGGATCATTATCCT